CTTCCGATCTCCCCAAAACCCCAAAACCCCAAAACCCCGTTTGGAAGTTTATGGACTGAAAATATTTGTAAAGTGGTAAAACTCACATTTTTCACTTAAATTATCTATTATACTTCTCCTCTGTTGTCTTATAATAATCATATCCTTTCTCTGAATCTCTCTTTCTTCTCTTCCTTTCTCTTCCATGCTCTCTATCTTCCTCGTCTCTCTTCCGCTTAGGTATCCAAACTGACTCACCTTCATTTGTTTCTTTCTCTTCCCTACTTCTCTCCTTAATTACCTCACTATACCTGCTCTTATTCCTTCTCCTACTCCAATCATCTCCTATTTCATCATACCTCTTCCTATCCCTTCTACGCTCTCTTCTTTCCCTACTCTGTCTCTTATCTTTCCTCCGCTAAAACACTTAATAACCAACCCCTCATCCCAAATCCATGCTACATACTAAACCTCCCCTTCCCCCTTCCTCACCTCCGAAATCTCCCACCTAAATTCCCTTACTCCACATATCCATCTTATCACCCGCTCTTAAGCCACTACTTACCTCCTCGTGATTATGGGAGTCAGGATTCTGTGTGAAAGGATGGACACTTTCTAGTGGGCGAGTTTTAGGGGAGTGGACTTCTGTGTGTGGGGGTTTATGGTTGAGATGGAGGCTGAGAGTGTTGAGGGAGTGGAGGATTTTGGATTCTGAGTGTTTTGATTGGGAGATGAGGGATTTTAGGAGAGATGAGGTTTCTTGAGTGATATTCGCTTGTTCGTTGCCTGAACTCCCGCAAATGAAGCATCCTTCAGGCTTCTGGGCAGCCAGCTTCCTGACGGCATCTGCTACTATCTGTTCTATGCTGCCTGGGCTGAGAGCATCCTCTATCTTAGAAAGCTTCTGCAGGATCTCTTCTTGATGAGTCTGGGGAGGAGGGTTTGGGCATGGATCTCTGAGAGTAGGGTGTTCAGTGAAGGAAGGGATTAAGTCGGGATCGAGAGGGAAATTTGGATCCCGTATAAAAGAGAGTCCATCTGAGGTAGACTGGGCCTTTTTTGGACGTGCAGAGGGGGTTTTGAATAGACAAGGTTCGGGAGACATAATCTTATTGCATTTTTGAGTATTGCTCATGATCGAATTTCAATTGTATTATACCCAAAAGGGGTTTTGGGGTTTTGGGGTTTTGGGGTTTTGGGG